GATACAGAACATCACATTCAATTCAATTGAATAAAAACAAAAATACTGCATTGATCCCAAAGGAAAATTAAACTCATATTTTTCAAAGTTCTTGAAAAAGTTGTAGATTCTGATGGCAGTGGGAGGAGAGGATCATCTGTAGTGGCCTGTAGCACAGCGGCTCTGAAAAAGCCTCTGACTGAAGACGTTCTGTTGCCATGTGAACATCTCGTTAAGAGGATTCTCAGGGTTGTTCATAATTTCCTTATTTTTACGTGGAATGTCCAAGAAAATCACTGCTAGCTCAAACTGGACTGAGAGTAAACTGGGATGACATTCAGTCCAACGTACCAAAACCACATTGAAAGAAATCGACTATTTGTTTCTGATTTACTTACAGGCACTCCATCAGTTCCTCGAAATCCAGGCACTCCCATTGGTCCCTGCATTAGGAAATACACAACATGATTAATTAATGATTAGAAAAACAGAGCAGAAGAAAAGTAGTGGTGGAGAGCTGCGTGCACGCCGACATCCCGAATGTTTGTATCTCATCCAAGATGAGGCTTAAGGCAAGATATTGCCAACCGTTGCAACTTTTTACTTTTTCATTGCTGTGTTTTCTTGTTGATAAAATGTAAATACATCACTGATTCACCCACTTTGTCTCCTTTGTCCCCAGATGGTCCTTTAAGTCCAATGTGGCCCTTCTCTCCTTTAGGCCCTCGAGGCCCTATGCCCCCTTGTGGCCCATCCGGTCCGGGCCGTCCGATCTCACCCATTTGCCCAGGACGACCCTGAGGAAAAAAAAAACAAAAAAAACAGATGCAATGACGTCTTGAGTCAAACTCAATCATTTTGAATATATGAGCTCATTGAGCATCAAATATACAGAGAACATATAAAAAAAATAGTAAAATAAAAGTTGGAAGAAGCAAATGAGAAGATGATGAATATTAGAGTCAAAGTAATGGTTCACATTCTCCAGCTCAGTCGGAAAACTTTATTTTTCTGTTCTTCATGGCTCGCCAGTCAGTTACATGGTGTAGTTTACGCACTAATTGCACTACTTATCCCACAATGCACTGCAACAGCTACTCTGCTCAAGACGTGAGTGCGCTCAAGCTACTCGTGGGACGAATGCACCAAAGAATCTGAAGGTAAATTCTGTGTTGCCAAAAAAATTCTATTTGCAACACAATAATCCGAGGCTGGAAGGAAGAGGAGAGGAAACTAAATGTTTTTTTTTTCCTTTAAAAAAAAAAAAAAATTTTCAAAACAAACTATTACACTAATGAGCACTAATCTTTTTTTGCTCACAATTGCTTCGATGTTCAATATGCCTCAATGTAATACACAGATACTATTTGCAGGTACCAAGACTGTAGCTTTGTTAATCGCTAAAAAAAAGTCAAACTCTCTTTGCTTTAGTTTTAAAATAATAGAACCTTGTTTAATGGTGGCCAGGTTTTTCCACACACGTCATGTCGACTAAAAATAATTATTGAGCACGTTTGGCGAGACCGCAGGAGAAAACACTGCTTAATGTTGCCACATTGTAGCTTAAATTCTGGTTCAATCAAAACGATTAATTGTGATTAATCTATTATTCAAATGGCTGTTAACTAATTTAGTAATCAATTAATCGTTAACTGGAGTATGACAACTCTGAAAAATATGTGGTTTGGTAAAAAAAAAAAAAAAAACCCAAAATTTTCATAGCAGTAATTAAGTCAAAACTGTACAAAAAATATAGAATTTTGCATTTAAGATAAAAATAAAAACTTTGTCTGTAAATGTGATTTAGCCAAAACTCCTCAGGTGATATAGCTTTAGCTTCATCTGGTTCATATTTACTTAAGAAATACTAAGGTATTGAAATTCAGGCAGTAAAATGTTTATTTCCTCATTTTAAAAAATAATTTGGATTATTTGTTTATCTGCATCTTTTACTGTTTTTTTTATTATTGTATAAAAAGGGTTAAGTGGTTAAATGAAAAATGGGCCTGTAAAATGTGTCATTTCTTATCTTTTTATCAATTAATTTTCAGACTAACAGACAGATTACTAAAATAATTGTTAGACGAAAGCCCTAATTAAAAGTACCAACAAAGCTGTAATTCTAAATTTGTGTTTTTATTAGATTTATAAAAGCCCAAAATTTGATATTGATATTTGATATTTTGTGCAAATATGGAGATTCATATTTTATACACTTGTTAAACTAATAAATGTAGTTTAACCAGTGTTTAAATTTATTTTTTTTTTAAACTAAATTAAACAAGAAAGTTTCTAAATCTTTGGTTCTTTGATAAATGCAGTTACGCCACTACAGCCACAAGATGGCAGCATAGACACAATGAACTAGCGCAAACAGGTGCTGAATTAGAGGTTAGGAAGTGGAATCCCTTCATTAGGAAGCCGGACTCAATAACTCACTAAGGTACACACATTCACAGGACCGCTCAGACTACTGACAGCCTGCGATTAGCTCATGCTTTAAACAATATAACAGGGTAAGGAGAGAGGAAGCGGATCAGGATATGAAAACAAGTCTGAGAGAGCGGCAGTATGTCCTGCGGTCAAAGGAAAGTCAGATTCAGATCTACGTAACACTGTTCAGTCATCATGCAAATCGGGAACATGCCAGCAAGAAGCTTTGTTTCAATTTTCAAGAAAATATGCTAATAAATTCCACTGACAAAGATATCCCGCATGCGTTATCTAGGAATGTAAAAGACTGCAGCCTATAAGACGTTTACAAGGGATTTATTCAGCTTGACATGCATGTAAATGCTTGTACGAGCGTACACGCATGCTTTTCGTCAATGACAGCACATGTATGACCACAGAACTGCTGCTGTCTTTTAAAGCGCCGGTGACCCCTGATTAGCGTCCTTTGTCTTGGAGTTAGAGGCCGCGGCTCGGCTTCCAGCCCACGTGGCCTTAGGGGGTAGGAAGGGAAGCATAATGACAGGGCTGTTCCAGCTAAAGGAAGCCTGCCAGAGCTGTCTGGCCCAGATTTGACACTCACACCTGGTTTCACCCAGAGAAAATATGCAGAGCTTCCACCAGGAGACACTTTCTCTCACACCTTACCTCCACCGTCGCTGGCTTTACCTTAACACTTAAAGAATAATTTAAAGTCCTTCTCGTTTTATTCCCTTTTATATGTCTCTCTGTATATTGTCCAAATCTCAATCAAAGTCACCCATTTTTATCTCCCCGTTGGCTAATCTTGTAAATATCCCAACAGCCTTCCAGCAACTTCCATCTAAATGTCTGCATACCCAAAAGTTTGAGGTCATCTTTTAAAAATGCTTTTAGCTTTTCCAAGGATCTTTCTTTCCGGTCCTGGGTAACCTTTAGAGCTCCATCTCTGTCTGATGTTGGATAAACAGTAAGAGGTGGTCAGGCTGTTGAAGAGTGAAGACTTGCTTTCATGCTAGGCTCTGATTCTGTTCAGTAGAACAAAACTACTGAAAGAGGACAAAGAAATCCAGACTCCCTACATTCAAAGATTTTGATTCTTTATGACATTCTGGACGTCTGAGGATAATGTATGTGACTTGTTGGATTGTCTTGTCTGTGTGTTCCAGACGTAATTAAACAAGTCAATGCTGAAGACAGGTTCAGATTCACAAGTCCAATCACACGCAAGTTTGGCCTGTGTACCAATCCAGACTAACTCAACTCCACAACACTTTGCAATCTGGACTGAACTGAACTGTCCAACATAAATTTGACGCAGGATAGCAGATAGATAGTTAAAACTACAGTTTGTGATCTGTGTCAATACTCTAAATGCTCAAGTCTGTCCAAGACCAAGCCGCAGCATTTCAATTAGACTTATGCCTCGACTTTGACTAGACCATTCTGCAACCATTAGGAGGTGGTCTTGCTGATGTGCTCTAGATCAAAGTCTATATGCTCTTAAATTGAGAGATATAGATATAGATACAAGACAGATAAAGAACATTACTATAGGTATTGACCAGTTGTTTAACTATTTTGAAATGTCATCTTCATTGACATCTTTTGTATGCTTGTCATACACAGAAGCATCTGACAGACTACATTTTGCTATGCTTTAACCAAAAGACCACTCCCAAGTTGTATTTTCTATATATGGTTTGAATACAATGCTTTTTATTGAACTCATATGTTTGCCAGTTCTATCAGTGATCAGTCTGTCCCATCCCTGACTTCCGACATCATCCGTCTCACCCTCACAGGTTGGCATCCCCGTCTGTTTTCATGCCAGCCCGTCGGGTCTCTTCCCGCGTCTTCCAGACCTTCCACCCACATCACCTTCCACCTGACTGGTCAGTTTATAGTCCCAAATCCCTTTCAGCACAAAGGTCACAATGGGGCCCATTCTGGCCGGCTAAGCTCTCTGGACTTACAGCTCCCGTCTAGCCTAGCTCACTTCCTGATAGCCGAGAGTGCTTGGACAGACACATTCTGGTCACCATGCGTGTGAAAATCGGTAGGTGTGTGTGTGTGCGTGTGTGTGTGTGTGTGTTGTCCATGAATGCACATTCACACAGAGATGAACACGTACCCCGAGGGTTTTTAATCGAGTCGTATTGTTCTGTGGGCTGGTGGGTGCCAAGAGTAAGATTTCGGTTGTCACACCGAATGCTCCCTTATGGACGATAACGGGCAAAACCACAGAGGGAGGGGTTCGCGAAATTCCCGGGTCTTTGGGTGCATGTTTAATCACCAAAAGAGGAGTAAGAATTGAGCCAAATACAGCCCACACATGAATCAACAGAACCTCAAACCTCCTTTGTATGAAAAAAAATTATATATTAAAAAAAAAAAAAAGAAACAGGTACAGCTATATCTGGAGAAACAACTTCACACTTCTCACTTCATTTGTCTCCAGACACGTTAGACAGAGGAAGAGGTAAATCTTTGGTGGATGGGAATGTTTGGGTTGACTGGGTTTGTTGTTCTCTTCTGATCACACAGTGAACCCAAACATGTCTTGTGTATCCATACGATGAAACAGGAAAGAAAGGACGACGCACGAATGGAATATTTCCTATTTATCCCTGTGGGGGGTAAAACTGAGTGACGGTGACCACTTTGCGGTTCACAGTTTGTGTTTCTCTGACTTGCGAGGTTTACGAGTTTCCTTGTATGACTGACCCATCTGTCGCTTTCACACTTGACCCAAAACCTCGTGAGTTTGAGAAAACATGGGACCCGGGTAAACAACTCCGGACATCTAAACAATCCTGTTTGCATATTTTCAGTGGCTGCATATTCTCACTGCGCAAAGTACAAACTCCTCAGGTTCATAGATTTGAACTAACTCAACTAAATATTTGTTCATAACCTGAAAAATATCATTAATGTCAACGCAAACATATGGGAGGAAATGGGAGCAACACGCTTAAGGAGAGATCCGATTTTCCTTCTGCTTAAGAGGGGGAAAAATATTTATTTAATTTATATATCTCCGTCACAACAATACCGACTACAACTCTATGCTGATGATGATGCGTTTAAGTTTTAACTTACCCAATTCCTATAACTTAGATGCAGAAGATACAGCAAAAAGGTGAGGTCAGGAAATCGGCTGACTTAATGTGACTCTTGGATTATACATGTTCATTTTTCTATCCACCTTATTCCTGGGGTTGTTGTGGGACTAAATGTGGTTGCAACCTTCAGTATTTGCGATAAAGCTGTCTTTCTTCATATGTAATGAGATGGGGTTTTTTTTTTAAGTAAGTGGTTTGCAGTTTAGCTAAATTCCTTGATTTCTTGTCTGAACAAGACTAGC